CAGCTGAGAATCTGCTTGCAAGGGCAAAATAAGTGGATGCAGCTGCAGTTCTCTTCCTTGGGAGTTGCCCCTTATACACAACTGATAGCAGGTGGCTGAGAGCTGGTATTTAAAAATGAAAAGTTTTTTGGTGTTTCTTTTTTATAAATATTTTTGCTGAAGTTCATTCATGTGCTCTCTTTGAGAGACCTATAGCCCACCATCCTCCAACTCAGAGGAAAGGATGGACAGAATTAATTTTGAAAACAGAATTCCAGATGATAAATTAAACATTCTCTCTCATGCCATATCATGTGGCAGAAGAAAGATAAAATTGAAAATGTTACCCCTTTTTTCTTCAAATAATACAGTGCTATTCAACAGATGTAATTATCCCTAAAGATCCATGCAATAATTGATGGCCTGTCAATCAAAGCCCTTATTAGACATACTCATGATGTCACATCACAGTCTATATCTTAATCTAAATCTAAATCTTCCTGCCAGTCAAAAACCTTTATATAGATTAATCTGATTTCAGATACAAGTTTTGTGTGCGGCCTTTTACCCAACCTTTTCAAGGCTGTGATCAGAGAGGAGCTGTATCTTTTATGTGTGCTGTTGAGCTTGTATCATGGACTCTGGGCTGCCCCTGAGGGTTTTTTTGTCTGGCCCCACCCTGCTTTATGCTCTAGCATGGAGCCTGGAAAAGGATCTGCCTTGGGTGGCTGAGGGACCTGGGGTGGACCTGCACTGCTACAATCAGTGGATGGCAATTACTAACATTACTGGCTACTGGAAACATCATCTGTTCTGCTGGGCCTTCCCTTCCCTTCCCTTCCCTTCCCTTCCCTTCCCTTCCCTTCCCTTCCCTTCCTTGCCCTTCCCTGAACTTCCCTTCCCTGAACTTCCCTTCCCACTTCCCTTCCCTGAACTTCCCTGAACTTCCCTTCCCTGAACTTCCCTTCCCTTCCCTGAACTTCCCTTCCCTCAACTTCCCTGGACTTCCCTTCCCTGAACTTCCCTCCCTTTCCCTCCTTCCCCCTCCCTTCCCTCTGCTATTTTTTCTCTTTTTTCCTTTTTGCTCTTTGCTTTTTTCTTTTTGCTTTCTTTTTTCTCACTTTCTCTTCCCTCTATTCCCATTTTTTAAGTCAACTCCTTAGAGTGTTATTAATGAAGTTTAATTCTTTAACTTGAAAAATACTCATAATTCCATTTTTAAAATTAAATACACTTTCAACTACTAAAGATATAGCATAAACATCTCAAAAAATGGAAAGGGAAGGGAAGGGAAGGGACAAAGAGAGAAAGAGAGTAAGAGAGAAAGAGAGAAAGAGAGAGAGAGAAAGGATAGAAAGAAAGAAAGAAAGAAAGAAAGAAAGAAAGAAAGAAAGAAAGAAAGAAAGAAAGAAAGAAAGAAAGAAAGAAAAGAAAGAAAGAAAGAAAGAAAGAAAGAAGTTAATATGTATGGAAGTCTAAGGTTTATCATCTCGGCTAAAAGATGGACCTGAAACATGTCTCTTTTGCAAGAAGTTGGCCAGTTGTCCAGTGGACTACACAGATAGTCTAATGAATCACAGACACAATGAAATTTNCCCTTCCCTTCCCTTCCCTTCCCTTCCCTTCCCTTCCCTTCCCTTCCCTTCTCACAATGCCAGGCAACTTTGTCCCTCATCTTTACAGGGCAAAAACAGTGTTTTGGAAGATTGTTATCCTACTGCACTTGATGCCTTGCGCACTGCTTGGGATTATTATCCCATTGCACTTCCACACCTTCCATTGAAAGGTGATGCCTTCCTACTGGACCTAGGTGGCAAGTCACCACTTGGAGGCACAGTTCCATTACAAACTCCTGTCTTCATGGTGGTGTCATACACAGCTCTTCAGGATTGGTAGTTGCATAACAAATCTGAAGAAGTTATAAATTTACCAATAGGTAAATTTATTAGGCTTTGTGTTGCCAGTGCACTCTGGCACTTCAAGTCTCTTTCAAACGGAAATAAAAGCAAATGGAAGAGGCTGACGCTTTCAAGATAATAGAATTTATCTTCTGCAAATCTGCTTTTTAGATGTCAAGCAAAGCAATTTCACAATATATAGAAAAGATCTTGTCTGGCATTGTTATATTTTTATTGGTCTTTGATGTAACTTGAAAATATTAGGCCATGTTTTGGTGTTCAATTTTCTATAGGTTTTCAGACAGCCTGATATAACAAATTGAAAAAATGCCTGTAATTAGACATCATTCCTAACACTGAGGCATTTTGGAGAAAGCCACACAGCAAGTTTGATCTGCATGTAAAACTTCAAAGTGTTCCCTAGATCCATGTACTACAAAAAGACTTGAAGTCAGCCAGAAAATAACAGTAAACAATGAGGAAAAAAAAAAATCTTGCCTTCAGGTTTGAAAGAGAAACTGAAAACCCAAAAGGTTCACATCTGCTGGGTACCATGTTCATAGTGAGATTGGCCTTGAATGTACCCTCTTGCATAGCCAATGTCAGTGGTTTCAATGACATTTTGAACAGAGGATTTCTCAGTTTTTTTCTGGCCCAGAGGCAATTCAAAACTTCCAGGTGATCCTCATATATCTTTCTTAGAAATTATATCTCCTGGAATGAGTAATGTTCTAATGGAACATTAGTTGGTTCCTGCGGGAGACGGGTGAGAGAGGGCCACTGGTACAGTGGGTTAGCCCATAGGAATAGGATGGCTAGTCTTACTCCAGGCCCCATATTGTGTGAAGTCTTTGTGGGTTTGAGTTTTGAATGTATTTTGTGCATTTTCATACTTTTCTGCTTGGTTTCCAGTCTTTGTACGAAAAGGTTTCTTCTGACAGAACAGAGTTTAATATTTGTCCTTGCAGTTAAAACAGCAACAAAGAAACACACCTAACAAGACAAGTCAAAACCAGTGATTTAAGAGGTTCTATGAAACTTTGTTGGAAAAAAGATAATTTGAGTAATTCTCTGATGCATCTCATCCACAACTCATCTACAGGTAAGCTCCTTCCACAGGGCAGTTAGGATCCACACAATCCCTGGTAAATTCAGCTGATGAGATGGCTCCACTGTAACAATGACTCCTGCTGCCTGACTCCAGGGCAAATTGCTGCTGCCAGCTGTGACCCAGCATGAGTCTGCTATGCAGATGGGCTGCTACATGTGCAATAGTTCATCAGGGATGGGCAGAGGGTTTATGAAATTTCTGGAACTTCTTTCCAGAAAGATTCTTGTTCAAATTTTTTAAAGAAGGAACTGTTTTTTACTGTTTTTACTCGTTTTAGCTTGGAGTTGGAGCTATAAACAGCTCTTCTTTCACTTCCTCTTTGAGGACAGGGAAAGGCTTAGAGACTAGCAATGGTCTGGGACCCATGAGAAACCATAAAAACCTTAGGCTTTAGGTTTTCTAGCTAGTTACTTTTGCCATCCTTGCAATGATATTGAGGTGCATGACATTAAAGGGGACAAAAATTTGTCCAGTTGTTGCCAGTTTTACTTTTGTACTTTTTGTCGTGTTGGTCTAGATGATATTTTGTGAATTCTGTATAACTTTGTTGCTGAAGGCTTAAAGCATGCTGTGGCACTGTCACCGTTGTAAAGTTTTCTTTTCTTCTGGGATAATACCATATGGTGACAGCCATGTTCTTAGGATGATGTCTGCCCCTTGTTACATTTATTACACCCTGAAAAATACCCTGCTTATAATAAATTACATATTCTTAATCATATATAATTTCATACAAATGTACACTTTGCTAAATTATGTTTGGATGCCTGGGAAGGAGAGACAAGTGAACTACATTTCACAAATGTTGCCCGGCAGGGCACATCTTCACTGGGGAGTGTTTTTTTAATAATGCAGCAAATCTTCATTTAATTGAGATGCCCTTTATTATAGTGTGAAGTTACAAGAAAATAACAAGGAAATAAGAGAGCTCTCCATGTAGGAAAAAAAAGCCACAATATTCTTCCACGGAGGACTTGCAGGGCTTCAGAAGTATGCTTAATTCAAACAGGAGAGTGTAAATACTCTTAACTCAACCCAAGAGTAAGGATTCTGGAAGGGGTGGCCTACTCTCTCTTTGCCTGGCCATGCAGCTCAGGGAATCCCTGCTTCCATACAGGGTGGGCATCAGTGTAAGATGAAATAATCATTTTTCCATAAGATGACTCACATTACAAAGTTGTATCCTGGAATTTCATCATTAAGTCTTTCACAAGTGGTCCTAAAAGGCCTCCTTTTAACCATGCTAAAGTAGTGGAAGCAGAAGTCATTTACACATTTCCCCCAAAGACCCAGTCCTTCCATCACCCCTCCAAGCAATTTGCTGACTAAATCTTCTATGTACTTGAATAATTTATGATATGAGTATATTAATTTATGCCAAGTGAAGAGGCTGACTACTGGGATGCAGCAATGCCAACAAACCAAAAATGGAAGCTGGAGACATGGAGGAAATGAACCCGTAACAATGGCAAGTGATATTTTATGCTCCAGCAGCAAGAGACAGCTGTGACCACATCTGAAACATGAGTGTGGGGAGCAGCAGCTAACAAAGGTTTTAGAATAAGCAGAGCTGAGCTAAAAAGAACCTACTAGTTTTGAGCTGCAAAATAAAGTTATTATAAAATGATTGAAAACTAACTTGCATTACCATTTTTTCCATTCAGAAAGTATATAAGTAACATTCCTGTGACTTTTACTTTCCACTGACATTGAAGAAATGGAAGTCTCAACTTGTGCCAAATTATCTGTCAGCCCAAGCCCTTGACCTGGGCAACTGATGAAGGCATGTTACAGATGCATGGAGTGCAAAGACTGGAAATATTACACATCTCAAGTAGTATAAGCTGGCTGTGGTCCAGCTTACACCAGCTGCTGATTAGCTCCATAAATGTCTTAGAGCAGTAACAGTTGGAGGAATTATGGTTTGCATTCACTAAACACCAATGAGGGATACCTAACTAGGCATGCTATGCTTGCATTTGTGGCCAGGAGATTGATTACACCAAGGATTTTTAAAATTCCTCTTTCTTTAGCTGTTCTTCAAAGAAATCATTACATGCCACAGTCAAAGCAGCAACCAGAATTACAAATTCATTAAAATCCACTTCATTGTCCTTATTGGAGTCCAGGTCATTCATAATTTTATCAATGAGGAGAGGGTCCTTTTGGCCCTAGAGAGAAAGAAGAATGACTTAGCTGTGCAGATCTTGAATGTGCAGTTCTGACATGCCTGGCACCACTGCTCTGTTATGAGGCTGTCATTGTTAAAGGGCTGCATGAAATATGCACCTGAACAGCAATACATGTCTAGTCACTCTAAGATCAGAAACTAAAGACAGTACAGCCCTTATAAGGTATACAGGGACTAAATAAGGACTGAAATTAATCAAACAGGTTTTAGGAGATATTGAACATGGATCCCTTTTGTCAAAATGGATCTCTAAAGTGCATTTCTTTGTATCATCCCATGACCAATAGCAGTTAGATTTCCAACAGAATACTCAGAAATGGTCATATTATATATCCAGTCATCCAATTCAGAAGACCTCTGGTTGGCAAACAACCATCCTATTCAGTGGGAACAAGAACATTGAATATCATAATAATAAATCAATAGCCAAGATAAAAAGAAAATCCAGTTCAAGGAAATGGTTGCAATATAAAGAACATCCTGCTGGTGGTCAAGGGTCCAAATAATTTTTACAATTAAGAGGATACATAAAATCATTATTTTTAAAGCTTATGATTTCATACAAGCATCTATGCTGTGTAATGTAGAACACAACAAACATGCAAAGAGATATTCAAATTAGCAGCTTATCATTTAAAGGATTTTCTTAGCACCTCTTTGCAGTGTACACAAGCAGCAGTACTGTGTGGTCAGTGTGCACAAGCTACTTTCCTGTCTCATGACAACTGGTTGCTGCATTTAATCCTTCAATAGACTTATCTATGCCCTATTATTAAAAACAAACACACAAACAAAGAAACAAACTAACTAATTTATAATTTTTTAGCATTGACCTTGCTACTGCTTCTAGGCTGGCCTAGCCCTCTTGCTCAAAAGCACTGTGGAGTTTGCAGAGCACCAGTACCCATCTCTGCTGTCAGTGGTACATGGGAGGGCACTGGGGCTTGACCACCCTCTGAAAACATATTTGTCAAATGGGACATTTGACATCATATTCTTCTGTACAGCTCCACAAGGAACTATTATCTGAGAGACTGTGACAGGGTGGGCCTTGCACAAGGAGGTGCTATTCCTATCCAAGCCCTAGGATAGCTGCTTAACCCACTCATGGTACAGTCACTCAGGAGGTTCAAAAGCTGCATCTTACTGAAAGGAAGGCAGTGAGCTCTCTGGTGAGGAGCTCCTTGAGTTCTCTTTTACTGAGCTTATATCTGTCTCCTTCTTTGCCCGAGTAGTGATGGAAAATCCTGATCAAGGTGTCCATTGCATCTTCCAGTGGAGTGGTCATAGCAGTGAGCAGGAGAGCTGTGGGGTAAAGATATGGTCACTGACATTGCACAGGAGTCAAACCAAAGGCCAGTCTCTGAGGAGGGAAGGAGGGCCAGATGAAGACAGAGATTGTTAGGCTAAATTTAGGCTTTCAGTTGATCCATCCTATTAGCTGAGTGTGAGCAAGGATGGGCTGTAATTAAAAAAAACCCATTGTCCTGAACTCATAAGCAATCGCTTCAAACAGAAATAAAGGATTTTTATTTAAGGAAATGATCTACTGTGTATCCATTTTATAAAGCTGCTGTAAAAGGAAATCTTTTGTGCTCATACCTGAAAATACAGGAAAAATGAAGGCCCACCCTCCTACCTGCTAATTTTAAAATTTTCTCAAGAAAATGTCTTCGAAAAGTGCCATGTGTGAAAGTACATTTATAAGGAAAGATCCACACCAGTTTAAAGGTGGACAGAGGAAGTATCATCTGCCAATTTATTTGGTCATCTTTGCTTGGGCTGAGCCTTTTTCCTATAAATTGCTTGCAGCAAACAGGTGTGAGCTGGTCATCCCCAAGGTTTGCTTCATTGAGCATACAGCAAGAAGGTACACAGCGAAGCAACAACAACAAAAACACAAACAAACAAACAAACAACAACAACAACAACAAAACCAACCAGATGGAAATGTAATTACTTGCAAAGTAGTGTACTCTAAAAGTAACTGAAAATAGAAATCAAGTGTAACTGAATAAAGCCCAGAGAAAGATTAAAAAGCCAGAATGCACTTCAGGTAGGACTGGAGTACTGAACAATATTGTCATGCAGAGGTTAAGACTTACCTGCTTTACAGGCTAGTGGAGGTGTATGCAGCAAAATGAACAGATCGCAGAAGGTGATGGTTACCTTCCTTTCAAAACCCATGCACAGGCTCTTGTTTATCTGGCTGAGGGGGTGGATTACACAAATAGAGACAGACACAGGGATGACGGGTCTTCTGTTTCCCTCTGCATTTGCCTACTCTGTTCAATAAATGCCTCTTGCTGTAACTGGGTCACTAAAATATTCACTAGGTAGAGTAAAGGCTGCATTTGGAACACATGGGATACTTTTTATAATTTGGCCTTTTACAAATACTCCCATTCAGGGCCTTGAAGATGAAAATTAGAAAATGCTAACAATCACCAAGTCGATATAAAACAACTTTCCACCATTTCTAAAAGAACACTGTCTATTCTGTCTTTCAGCATTTCTGCAGTCTCAGTGCTGGCAGCCAGCATTCAAAGGCACCTGGGTACCTGGGGGTAGGCTTCTACCTATGTTTGCCACGTATCCCTTGAAATGTCTAATTTAATTTTCAGATATCTCCATATGCCTAAAACATTATCTCTTGATGAGTGTAAGTCTTGCTGCAGTAAATGAGTTCTCAGGAGGAAATCAGGGAACTAGTTTCAGTGGAAGGTGTGCCTGGAATAATGGTGTACACTGAACAACAGTCTTGGCTTCATTTTGACAGTCCTGCACAAAAACTGTAGTCCAGCATCTTTCTCTGAATATATAACCTGGACTAAGAAGGGCAATAAGCGTCTTCTGCCCCAGCTCCAGGAACTTGTTGATGCTGAGGGATGCAGGAAACAGCAGCTTCACCATGGTAGGGCTTACCACCCCAAATAGCAAATAACCAGGGTTTTCATTACAGAGACTCAGAGCAGAAAACTGCTTGTGAGTTTGCTTTAGGGTTTAGTTTCCTTTAATAAAGCCTTGTACCAGCTGCAGACATTTGTCCAGCAAGCACAATTGTGCAGGTGAACAGGACACAGAGCTGCAGCTCCTTCTTTGTTTCATTCCAACCAGAAGGAAAGAGAATTAGATGGGCATTGTTTTTAACTCTGAAATCCTCCAAGCACTCCTAATTTTGACTACTACCATATATATCAGCCCACATACCTGCCTGCCTGCTGTGCCTTCAGACATGTTTCTTCTGCCTGTGCTGTTGTGACAAATCTCCACAACCTGGGGGGCCTTGTGTGGGCCTTTGGGGAAAAAGGGAGGGAAGAAGAGGGGGTGGAACTCATAAAAATACTGGATCCCAGTGATGAGGGAAGTGACTGTGTAAAGTGTAATTTCCAAAGCAGGCAGGCCCTTCTGACTAGGGGTCCCCGTGGGCAGGCATGGTGCTGTGTGCAGGGCAGACACCTGCACCTGCCATCCCTGTGGCCAGGAGTGCTCACCAGGGAAGGGCGAGCCAGCACTCAGGGAATTATTATAAAACATTAAGGTAGAAACCAGAGGAACAAGAGGAACATATCTCTCCTGGAGTCAGAGGAAGGTGAAGAGGAGAGCTGCTCCCCATACCCCTTCTGTATTTGGGGAAAACTCGTGGGTACCTGATTTTGTGCAGAAGTTGTCGCTGTCCTTCTGTCCTCCTATCAACACTGGAATCTATCTGGATCATATAGAGCATATGAGAGAAGAACATGAGGGATATCAGCACAGCATATCTCTCCCACTCAGTTCTGGGAATCCTCTGTGGCTGCAGATGAGAAGAAAAAGCACGGAGCTCCTAATGTAGCTACAGTCACAGGGTTCTGTCTTGCCTGTGATTCACTAATGATTATAACTATTGCACAGAAATAGTATACAGATAAACATGAAAATACTTGGTTGTTTTTTGTTGTTTATGGGTTTATGTGGGTTTTTGCCATTTATTCAACAGCAGTTTCACCCACAACCAGAAAAAAAACCACAGGTGACTCTATATAGAAGAATGAAATCCTTCTGTCTGTTTATATATTATTATACTGATCCTCTGGCTAATTAATATTGCAAATTAATTATCTAAGCAGAGTCTACAGGAGGTACAACTTCCAGGAAGCAGGTATAAACTTTCAGAGTTGCCATCCTTAGGACAGAAGAAAGAAAGGGTTTACTCTGTTATCTCCAGAACATCAGGTCAATAATTTATACAGTGATATAATATGTGCAGATTCTTTCTACAGGTACTTTCACTCCAGCTAATTGAGCAAGGAACCTTCATTCCCACCCACTAGTGGGTGACATACACAGGGAACAGCTGCACTGAGCTTGTTTGTCAAGGGGTCCATGCAATTTGCTGTGTCCAGTCCTTTCCTCCCTGGCTAGTGAAATCCTGCCAGTGGCTCCAGTGACAGCAGTCCCACAACTTCTTTGAAGGCAAGTCCCAGCACTGTCTACTTGAAATTGATGATTATCAGTCAACTGTTATATACTTCCTCATCCAACACTCCAGCACAATCTGTTTTAGTATGATATCTAGTTGGCACTGAAGATAATTAAAGTCAGCACAGACTGCAAAGCAGTTCAGTATCAGGCAAAGCCTTGACTGTGTCAGCAAACACCAATATCCCATCAGTCCTCGCCCTGCACTCTTGTTTCCAGCAGGTTAAGCACAGGAGCAGCACCAGATGGGGTTGACAGAGAATGTAGGACTGCCTGTAGACACAGTGAAGGATGGTGTCTTCCTCATTCATACCTTAACTTTGTCTGTCAGAACCTGCCAAATCACAGCAGTGTTGCTGGGAAAGAACTTCTGGAGATGCTTAGTTCCACTGCCTACTCAAAGCTGGATAATCTTCAGCATTAGACTAGATAGACACAGTTTTGTTAGGTAAACATAAAAAACCTCTAAGGATGGAGATTTCACAAGTTCTTGAGTAACCTGCTCAGGTGTTGCACTATCTCCCTGGGGAAGATGGCTGCCCTAACATCAAGTCTGAGCATCCCAAGGTACAGTTGTGAGCACTGGCCCTTTTTGCATCACCAACACTACCAGAAATACTTTGACTTTATAAATTACCTGCAAATAGTGTTGACTTTTCACTTAAACTCAAAAATAAATTTGGAAGCAGTCTATCTATCTAGCGATCTACCCTGACTCACCCAATCTATTTCCATCTTTTACTGTCCCTTTCATGTTATGTCCTTGACAATTATATACTTTCCCAAAGAATATTTCAACATTAAAATTCCACATTGCACTGTGGGAGCAATGGCTGTCATAAGGGGAAGGGGCAGAGTCTCCACCTGACCCAGCACAAGTGGTCTGCAAGACTGAATTCTGCCATCTTTTCTCAAGCAAGTGATAGACTTAGGCTAGCTAGGCTTACACAGTGAGCCAGCCACCATGACTTCCAGAAGATGATCAGAGGGATGGAGTACCTCTTGTGTGAGGACAAGCTGAGTGACTTGAGGTTGTTCAGACTGGAGGAGAGAAAGCTCTGGGATGAGCTAATCAATCCTTTAGGCCTTCCAGTACCTAAAGGGAGCTGACAAGGCTAGAGACTGGCTTGTACAAGAGCATGTAGTGACAAGACGAGGGGTAATGGCAGCAAACTGACAGAGGGCTGGTTTACGTTCAATAGAAGGAAGACAATCTTTTCTGAGAGGCTGGTGAGGCACTGGCACAGGTTGCCCAAGGAATTTATGGATGCCCCTGCCTGGAGGTGTTCAAGACCATGCTGGAGGGAGCTCTGGGAAATCTGGTCTAGTGAAAAGTGCCCCTGGACACCTCAGATGAGTTGATCCTTAAGGTGCCTTCCAAACCAAAGTTTTCTATGATTCTATGATTTCACTGGAGGCTGTTGAGAGAAAGGGAGATTGTTCCTTGCCCTGTAAATCTGAGAAAGGACCCAACATGCAGGACTGATTTCTTTTATTTTAGTTAGGGCAATAGAAACTTGCACCCAGCTGGGAGGCTCTATGATACTGTTCCTCCTCTCCTACTTGGAGATGGGGCAGTCAAATCACAGGCTTATCTTATTACTATTTTTGAGGTCTCTGCTCCTCAAAAAATGAGCAGAGCTCTGACTTGTTTGAAAGTAGTCAGGTCAGCATAGGTCAGCAGTCTTTTTCCTCCACAGCTGGGAAGGAGCTTTGACTTATTCACTAGGATTTCTCCTTGATCTCAAAACACGAGCTGCCTTTAAGCCAGAGCAGTTTATAAAGTGCCACTTTAAGCCATAGTAAAATGCTACTCAGCTTAAGTGT